TTGGGTTTCCGAGGCAGTATCACTACGGAAGTAGGATTGCCCAACCTTCCTTCCAAGGAGTGGCTGGTGGGTTTGAACCGCCAGCTGTCTGGTTAGCAGGCAAGTGTCTTAGCCACTATGCTACCAGAGCTCCCATATATTATGATAGGTAGAGGTAAGTATTGATATGGATGAAGAGAAAGGCAATGTACCAAATATGAGTGATTAACATGGTGGCACTGAGGAAGAGGAAGACATAGAGAGGTACATGGGAGTCACAGACAAAAAAGATGAACCCTTTTGCATATACAGTACTGCATTGTCAGTGAAGGCAAACACGGGTATACGGGTGAATAGATGAGTGGACAGGTTGAACTATTAGGTATGTCTATGCAGCTGAGAGTGTACATAAGACTACGTGCAGGGTTGGCAGACAATGGTTCTACAAGTGTATTTGTATGTTGTGTGAGAATTCCCAGGAGTATAGTAGAGCTGACAAGGCAAAGGTTGTAGTCACTTCATGATCACAGCTAGCTATCCAGAGGGAGTGAGTAGTTGAACCCGTGGGCTTGGGACCATAGTCACAGGGGACATTAAGCTCAATTGGCATAACATACTACACAAAACATTGTTCCACCTCCTACTTTGGCAAGTAGCGACTGGGGTTTTGAAAGCTTGCAAGCAGCCGTCTAGATGCAACTATGGGTCTCTCCTCATCCAGAGCAAAGAAGAATGAAGAAAACCAAAAATTAATGGAAACAATTAGTCCTCGCAACTGATACGCCATGCGATTTTTAGCCTATACGACAAGACCACAAGAACTGGATGGTGTCTGGCTACCACTGTCAACCACTCAGAGGAAGATCTATGTAGGAGATCCTGGATAGAGAGGGAGAACAATGTGGAACAAAACTCAAAATCATTTGGAAAAAAAAAGGGGGAACCAAGTTTGCTGGTCTGATAGAGCCTGGTGGAACCACTGAGACTATGGTCCCTAGCTGCCCTTCAGGTCTGGAATTGAACCTGTGGATTCCAGCCAAACAAGACAGGCATATGAGTTGAACATGTACCTGAGGTAAACAAGACAGGCATATGAATTGAACATGTACCTGAGGTAGATGCACTCCTTGGAGAGAACAATCATGGGAAGAAGGGCTGTTTATGCACAGGGAGACTGTTCAGGAGGCAGGTGCATGGAGGGATGAACACATGGAAGAAAGAGGTAACTGCTGGGAGGAATTGGGAAGGGAGCTGTTGCACTGTGGTAAACTGTAGTCAATGTCACGAGACAAAGTGTATGTGAACTGCTGTACAGAAAGTAAATTTGCTCTGCAAACTTCCAGCCAAATCACAATTTAAAAAAAAAAAAGTTACTTAAGATTAGTGGCAATGTTGTTGTTGTTGTTAGGTGCCATTGAGTCATTTCTGACTCATAGCGACCCCATGCACAGCTGAACGAAACACTGCCTGATCCCGCGCCAGCTCCATGATCCCTGCTATACTTGAGCCCATCATCGCAGCCACCATGTCAATCCATCTCGTTGAAGGCCTCCCCCTCTTTCGTCGACCCTCCACCCTACCAAGCATGACATCTTTCTCCAGGGAATGGTCTCTTCTGACAACATGACCAAAATAGACGAGACAAAGTCTGGTCATTCTGGTTTCCAAGGAGCATTTTGGGTGCACTTCCTCCAGGACAGATCTGTTAGTTCTTTTGGCAGTCCATGGTACTTTGAGCATTCTTCACCAGCACCACAACTCAAAAGCATCAACTCTTATTTGGTCTTCCTATTTCATTGTACAGCTCTCACATGCATACGAGGCGATTGGAAATATCATGAAATATCATGAGTGGCAATGTAGAGAGTATTAACTAAAGGACTATGGTTGAACACAATGATAAGTCTATGTATATTGCCAGAATAATAAGCCAGGCTTCTTAATTTCTAATATAAGAAATGTTTCAAAGGCAGGATTCAATACTGACACCAAATGAGCAATACTTACCTCAGAAACTTTTAGAAGACCTGTAGAAGCATAGTAGTTTGCCACAATGCAGGCACGAAGTTTATCCATCATCCTTCTTGCCTCAATCAGTCGCTAAAAACAAATGGTAACTCATTACTTTAAAAAATGGCAAGACAAAAAAGATGTACAAACAGTTCACAAAATAGATGCCTAAGAATACAAACACACAAAGAAAATTCAACTTTTAGAATAATCACAGACACATAAATAGAAACGAGAAGTTCGACCTAATGCAAAAAGCTATTTGAAGAAGAACAGCAGAAGAGAATAAGATCACCACTCGAGCGCCATAGATTTTTTTCTATTTTTCAATAGCTTTGTCCTCCTCAATTTAACACCATTATACCTGGTCAATGACTTCAATTTCATGTTCCTTATTCTTCATTTCAAGAGCAAATTGTTCCTTGATAATAGTCTCGATCTTCTGTACAGCAGCATCTCGAGCTGCACAAAAACATAAAAATGTTTATAAAAAAAAATTAATTTCATTAATAACTTTTTTTAAAAAGCAAATATTCTGAGACATTCTAGATAACTGTAGAACCATAGTTAATAATTTGCTCTTCAACTTGGCCAGGTAAAAAAAATGTTTCTGAGTTTTATTTTACCCACCAGTAGTTAAGCATACAGATTGAAATAGATCAATGTTTCCCAAATTTCCATCATTCACTTACCACCTTTAAGATATGGACCACATGTGTGAACCATGTGAAATAACTAATTAACACAAATAATATTTAAAAAATCATTTTAGCCGTGTCCTCAGCAATAAAAGTCACAAAACCTTAAGTTTAGTGAGATCATTACTTTTTCTATACACATTAAAATAATATATTACTATTAAAACAAAAAATGTTAGTCCATGTATAAACAATCATTATCTCACATGACTGTACCACACTGCAGAACACATACTATACTTGGCAAATACTGACCTAGATAAAACCTACAGACTCTCTATTTCTAAGATTTTATGATTATACCTAATGACACTTAACTGTAGCCTGTCTCATCACTGACATTTTCACTATCTGACTGAGTTCCTGACAGATGATCTTCTTCTGCCTTTTATGTACATTAGTGTTTTACTATTAAACAAAGTACTTAACTAATTTGTAAAAGTACCTTTCACAATTTCCTCCAAATTATGTATGACATTAAAATACATTTCTGGAGACATCTGTCAACAAAAAAATAAATGATTTCCTAAGGCAAATCAATTTCTACCTGAATTCTCAATTGCTTTATGCCGCTTATTTGGAAGGGCCACAGATATATCCTCATAATCGGGGTCTGTTTCCTTGATTGTTCGCTTGATTCCAGACATGATGACATTCAGTTCTTCACTGTGAAGCAATAATAAATAAAACTGTGTGATACTAATACTCACAGAAACAAGCTCTAATGACAAAATGGTTAAGTGCTCAGCTGCTAACCTAAAGGTTGGCAGTTTGAACCCACCAGCAGTGGAATAAAAGATCTGGCCACCTGCTCCCATGAAGATTACAGCCTAGGCAAACGGGACTACACCCAGAAACATATATTAAAGGTTTGCAGACGCTATGCAAATACATCCATGAATGCAGCAGAGCATACAAGGAGCGAAATTATGAAAACATCTTAGTCATAACCAAACTGAATGATTCTCTGGGCATGGGAGCTCAGGAGCATAGTTTGGGGGACACTAAGGTCAACTGGCATAACATAGTCCACGAAGACAATGTTCTACATCCCACTATGGTTAGTAGTGAATGGGGACTTAAATGCTCGTGAGCGAGGGAGTTCTGGCAAGATGGCAGAATAGGCAAACAACCTACACAGACCCTCTGCAACAAAGCAATGAGAAACCAATTGAAATCAATACAGAAGACAGTCCTGGAATCCTGAGCACCGAAGGAAGGGTAAACAACTGGATTAAACACCAACTATTAGAAAAACCTAAATGAAACAGTGAGTAAGGAGACAAATGGAGCTGCGGAGTGCCAACTGTTCTGAGGGTGCAGCCATTTTGCATGTTTGCAATTGGCCGGCACAGCCATTTTGTGTGTGAGAGGGTGGGGTTCTTACTTAGACTGCCATCTGGGAGTGGGCTCTGCCTGCCCGCACTGTAGACTGACAAATGGAGAGGTGCAATATTCCCCTTGTCACTCTCATGCCCTGCGCCCTCTTGGTGAACAGGGGTGTAGGCACCCCCTGCCTCCAACCACCTTCTTTCCATCTCAGTCTGTGCCCTGGCAGAGTATGGGTGCCATGGCCCACCCACCGGTTTTGTTTCTATTTGTTTGTTTTTAAATTACTCTTTTTTTACCTTCCTCCTTTTTTCCTCTCCTTATTTTCTTTTCTCTTTACCTGGTTCCCTTCTTTTTTCTTTCTTTTGGGTCTTCCCATACCTTGTTTTTCCTTTTGCAGTTTTCCTTATTCTTTTACTGTTGCTTTTTTCTCTCACTGCTCCCTCCCCAGATACTGTGGCTTTTTTTTTTTTTTTTTCATTATTATTGTTTTACCCTTTATAAAATCTATTTTGAAATATTTTCTTATTTATTACATTTCTTTTCTTTCTTTTTTTTTTTTTGCAATTTTTCCTGTTTGTTTACGCTGTTTGAGTTTTTTGTTCCTGTTTTTGTTTTTTTGGTAGTTTTTAAAATTTATTTTGTCTGAGTGGCAGACAGCAACAGTTCCCATAGAACCCAACCATACCCGTGCCTCCTGTAGCCCCACCCACTATGAGGGCCATCACTTGCTTCTGCACCAACTAAGCAATAATAGAAGGCAGCTAATCCCTGCTCAACTTACATTCAACCACTCTTTATGAACAGCTAACAGAGATCTATACACGCACTCTCATTCTCTATCACACCCACCAGGAGACAGGTGATGAGTGCCTAAGTGCTAACAACTAGTGAATAGAGGAGCACAGTATCCTGCTTACACAGATACATCAAAACAAAATACAGGAAAAAAAAAATCTTGTGCAAATCACATCAACATACAATCACAAATGAAACATAAACACAATGCCACAATGTCTTGGATACAACAGAACTTCACAGTCCACACAAAAAAAAACAAGATAAAGTAGTAGAAACAAGGGACCAGGATACAAACCCAGAAAACATCCCTGAAGAAGCAGAAGCACTGGAACTCCCTGAATAAGGAATTTGAAAGAGTTATATTTGTGTACCTTCAATGGATTAGGAGATAGATCAAGAAAACACTGACAAAATTAAAGAAAACACAGACAAAACTCTAGAACAATTTAGGAAAACAATACAACAACAAATTGACAAAATAAACAAAAAATAAGAAATGATACAGAAACAAAAACAGGAATCCAGAAGATTAAAAAAACACAAAAATTTCAGAAATAGGTAATACATTATTGAATGAACAAAGGAGTAGAATCGAATCAATGGAAGACAATTAATGACAGTGAAGACAAATACCTCAATACTACTTTGTTAAGGGATCAATCAGAAAAAAAGATAAAAAACAAAATGAAGAAAGCCTAGGATTCATAAGGGATACCATCAACAGGAATAATGTACATGTAATCAGAATTCCAGAACAGGAAGAGACAGATAAAATCACAGAGAAAACTGTTAAAGATTTTGTGGAAGAGAATTTCCCTAATATGATAAAAGATGAGGAAATATCCATTCTAGTTCAACAAACCCCAAACAGGATAGACCCCAAAAGAAAATCACAAAGACATATTACCATCAAACCCACCAAGACCAAAGACAAAGAAAGCAGCATGGGAAAAATGACCTACAAACGGCAACCAATAAGACTAACCTCTGATATCTTCGCAGAAACCATGCAGCTGAAAAGGCAATGGCATGATATACATAAAACCCTGAAAGAAAAATATTTCCAACCAAGAATCATATGTTGTTGTTATTTGCCATTGAGTGGAACCTGACTCATAGCAACCCCTCCTTGGGTTTCCGAGACAGTATCACTATGGAAGTAGATTGCCCAACCTTCCTTCTGAGGAGTAGCTGGTGGGTTTGAACCACTAGCCTTCTGGTTAGCAGTCAAGTGCCTTAGGCACTATGCTACCAGAGCTCCTAGAAAAATTGTCTATCAAATATGAGGGTGAAACTAGGAGATTTCCAGATAAGCAGAAGTTAAGAGAATTTGTTAAAACCAGACCAACTTTACAAAAAACGCTAAAGGGAGTCTTTTGGACAGAGAACCAAAAACAGCAAACAGCAATTGATGATTAACACACATGATGGCATAACCCAGAAACCAGCCTAGTTATAAAAGTATCTAAAGTAAAATAGGCTTATAAGACTGTAAACATGGAACCAAAGACATCAATTGGTAAATGAGGACAATCAGAAACCAAAAAGAGAGAAGAGTGTAGTTACAGAACTTCAAAATGGCGAGAAAGTCAAGACAACTGCAAGGTAAGAACAGACTGTTCTAAACTTAGGAAGAAAATGATAAATCACACGGTAACCTCAAAGAAAAAGAACAAATCTTTGCACCAACATAAAAAAGAAGACAAGCAAAACTACTTAGCAAATACTAAAGCCTATAGCAATGAAGTAGATGATAACACCACTCATAAAAGCTCCACACAGAAAATTATACGGAACAAAGAAATCAGCAACACTACAAAAGAACACATAACAAAACATTATCAATAAATTCATACTGGACGATAATTACATGACAATGAATGTCAATGGATTAAATGCACCATTCAAGAGACAGAGAATTACAGACTGGATAAGAAAACATGACCCATCAACATGTTGTCTACAAGAGATTCACCTTAGAGACAAAGAAAAAATTAGACTAAAATTCAAAGGTTAGAAAAAGATATACCAAGCAAATGGCAACCAGAAGAGACCAGGATTGGCAATATTAATTTCTGATAAAATATACTTTAAGACAAAAATGACCATAAGAGACAAGGAAGGACATCATATGATGATTAAAGGATCACTTGAACAAAAGGACATACCCATAATAAATACCTATGCACCCAATGAAAGTGTCCCAAAATACATAAAGCAGATTTAAATAGAATTGAAAAGACAAATAATGACTCCACAATAACAGTAGGAGACTTTAATATACCAGTCTCAATATAAGATAGAACAACTGGAAGAAATTCAACAAAAATGCTGAAGAACTAAACAATACGATCAACAAACTTCACCTTACAGACATGCACAGAGCATTACACCCAACAACAGCAGAACATACATTTTTTTCCAGCATACATGAAACATTCTACATGACTGACCAAATGTTAGGCCACAAAGCAAGCCTCAATAAATTTAGAAACTCTAAGATACTGCAAAATATATTCTCATCCCTAAGCTGTATAATTAGAAATCAACACAGGAAAGAACAATGGAAAAAGAGCAAATGCATAGAAAGTGAATAACACCTTTCTAACAAATGACTCTCAAAAAAACCAAATCACTGTCACCAAGTTGATTTCGATTCATAGTGACCCCTCCTCTTGGGTTTCCTAGGCAGTATCACTACAGTAGATTGTCCAACTTTCCTTCCAAGGAGTGGCTGGTGGGTTTGAACCACCAGCCTTCTGGTTAGCAGTCAAATGCCTTAGGCACTATGCCACCAGAGTTCCCCCTACACAAATGACTAGGTAACATGAAAAATAAAAAAATAAAAATTCTATGAATCAAATGAGAATGAAAACACAACATGCCAAAATCTTTGGAACACAGCAAAAGCAGTCATCAAAGAGCAATTTATAGCAACAAACGCACCTATCAAAAAAAAGAAGAAACAGCCAAAATAAACACCCTAACTCAACATCTCCAACAATTAGAAAAAGAGCAGCAAAAAAAGCCTACAGTGACCAGAAGAAAAGAAATAATAAACATTCGAGCAGAAATAAATTAAACAGAATACAGAAAGACAACAGAAAAAAAATCAACAAAGACATGGAAAAACCAATCACTGATTTTATATGGAAAGGAAAAAGACCTCGGACAAGCAAAGCATTATTGAAGAACAACAAAGTAGGAGGTCTCACATGCTCAGATCTCAAAATCTACTACACAGCCACAGTTGTCAAAACAACCTGACATTGGTAAGACAGACACAAAAGCCACTGGAGCAGAACTAAGAACCCAGAAATCCATCCATGGACCTATGGTCAGCTGATCTTTGACAAAAGGTCAAAATCCATTAAATAGGGAAGAGATACGCTCTTTAACAAAGGTGCTGGCAAAACTGTACATCCATTTGCAGAAAAATGAAACAAGATCTATACTTCACACCATACACAAAAACTAACTCCAGATGGATCAAAGCCTTAAATGTGAAACCTAAAACTACTAAAGTTCA